TAACCTCGTCGTGGTGAAGCCTCCTATGAGTATCCCCAAGTAATATGGTTATACTATCAGTATATCTCTTTGACCAGGACATGTTACTGCAGCGTGGTGAAGGTGTTACTTTGCCGTGGTGACCTTATTTTTTCAGTTTTTCCACTTTGATGCTTGTTTCCATTTCTTCAGCTTTCAGCACATCATTTCAACTAGGGATGAAAGTGGGTCCAAACTCGGACCGGATGGACCCGAAATACCCGGAACCGGTTAACGGGATTTTCTAGAACCGAAAACCGGACCGGTATATAGAAACCGGTTCCGGTTCGGTTCCGGGTACGGTACCGGGTAAAGTGGGTCTAGAACCGGAAAACCCGGAAACATCAAAGTGGGTAGGTTGGAACCGGATAAAGTGGGTTTAGAACCTGAAAACCCGAAAAACCCGGAATTTTTTGGTAATTACTTACTACTTAGTGGGTTGAACTTTAAAAATTTTCAAATTAATATCTCGACTTCGAGGGACTATAAGTTATTGAATATGAAATCAAAATTGACAAACTTATAGTCTAAAATCATATACAAACTCTAAAATACACTATGGAAAAAACCATATGCCAATCTTACTTTAAACAAATGAGATATGCATGCGTTACCATTTTCAAAGAATTCAAAGTACAAAAATAAATAGCTGACAAGTTGAAAATTTTCAGCTTTGATACCCCGACTTTGGGGGGCTGTAAGTCATTGAATATTAAACCAAAAATGACAAAGTTATAGTCTAAAATCATGTACAAACTCTAAACTATAAGTTGAAAAAAACTTCATATCAATCCGACTTCAAACGAATTAGATATGCATGTTTTAAAACTTTCACAGAATACAAAAAAGCTGAAAAACTAAAAACTTCCAGCTTTGATATCTCAATTTTGGGGGGCTGTAAGTCATTGAGTATTAAACCAAAAATGACAAAATTATAGTCTGAAATCATGTACAAACTCCAAACTATAAGTTGGAAAAAACCTCATGTCAATCCAACTTTAAACGAATTAGATATGCATGTTTTAAAACTTTCACAGAATACAAAAGAGCTGAAAAACTAAAACTTCCAACTTTGATATCTCGACTTTGGGGGACTGTAAGTCAATAAATATAAAACTAAAAATGACAAAATCATAGTCTAAATTCATGTACAAACTCTAAACTACACGTTGGAAAAAACCGTATGTCAAACCGACTTAAAACAAATGAGATATGCATGTTTTAAATGTTTCACAAAAACCGATTCCGGCCCCTAAAAGTGGTTCCGGTTCTTAACATTGATTCCGGTTCTTAGACCCGGTTTGCCCGGACCCGATGGACCCAAACCCGGATTACCTGGAACCCGGATAAAGCCAATTTTTAAACCTGGAACCGGAACCGTTTCTATATATTCCGGTTCTAACGGTTCCGGTTCCGGTTCCGGTTTTCTGGTTTTAAATCTCATCCCTAATTTCAGCTCATTTTCTCCTGAGCATGTCTTCGCTGCTACAAAACAAAATTTAAACATTATAAGTATCAAATATATTTAATTAAGACTCAAATGTAGTTAAAAATACTAATAGTCATGCAAAATAAAGTCGGATGAAACATTGATTGTATTGTTAGAATCCATGAATGAGAGTAGAAAAGAATAACAGAGAATAGAGAATAGAAGGTTAACTAAATGACGATATCTTTGATTAGTCGATGGTGAATGCAATAATCACTATGTGAATTTGATGTCTAATATGAGCCAATGCACAGTCTAAAGTAAAATGGAGAACCCTTCATGGCCCAAGATCCTTTATAATCAGTATAATATCTTCAAGATGATAATGGCAAGATGATGCATCATAAGAAACATACATTGAAGAACTTTTCAATAAATAGTGATTATGCCAACCAACATGCTCTCTAATGCGAAATCAAGGATAGAGTTATTTACAAATCTATCAAGACTACTATTTTACCAGCATTACTTGTTACCAAAAAGTTTGCAATTATATGATTAAGAGGACTATATTAAAAAACATAAATTTTTTACAAACAAGAACCAGTTTAGGTTTGAGGTCATACTGTACAATGTTTTTGGAATGGAAAGAGCAGATGACAAGTGTTAGATATCAAACTGATGATGACTTCGTTCCTAAGGAAGAAATTAATGAACAAGAAAGATACAAGGGAGAACAGAAGAATAAAAGAAAAAATGAGAGAACTTTGAGGATTTTTTTTTTAAAATCCTATTAAAACTAACGGGTACAGCCCCTTATTTATACTAAAACTAATAGACTTTTACTCTAATACAAACTCTTGAAAGAAACTTAAAATACTAATAAAAAAGGAAACTTTTCTATTGCTTTTCAAACAACCGATTAACCCAACAATCACCCCCTTAATCGGTTTGGTCATACGAGCCACTCGTCCAAAACAATGCCGGTTCCTCTTCAATTAGACCCGCTTCTTCCTTTTCCCATTTAGGACACTCGTTTTTATAGTGACCAAGTTCATCACATTTGTAACATCTAACGTGACTTTTATCCCGGACACGTTCATTACCATCTCGACTCCTCCCGCACTCCCGACCTCTTCCCCGGCCACGTCCAAAGTCATCCCGATTTGAACGTCCATTACCACAATGCTTACAAACATGTGACTTTTCCTCACTAGCCAACAACAACCCACCTTGAGTGTCCTCCACTTTCTCGGTTCCTCTTATACGCTCCTCGTATGCCTTCAATCTACCAACCGCTTCATCAAATAACATTGAATCCAACTCGAAACATTGCTCTATTGAAGCCACGATTTGAAGAAACGACTTAGGCATCGAATCAAGTAACCTTTTTACCAAATCACCTTCTTCAAGCTCATATCCAAGTCTCCTTACTTTTGACGCTAAACCGGATAATTTCATCACAAAATCATGAACCGTTTCGCCCTCCTTCATACGTAAACTTTCAAGCTCCCTTTTTAAGGTTGCAAGTCGAGCCGTTCTCACCCGATCCACTCCCAAATACCGTGTTTTTAGCCCATCCCACACTTGCTTTGGGTCGGTGTAACTCGCCATTTGCAACACCATGTCTTCGGGTATCGCTTGAAACAAAAAAGTAAGAGCTTGTTTTGATTTCTTTTGATCTGGTGCTTTATCTAACGTCTTCAGTTCGACCGTCTCCCATATGCCATGTGCATCCATAATCGACTTGACTTTGACTGCCCACACCGGATAATTCGTTGGAGTTAAAACTGGAACTTGATATGCCAACGAACCTTCTTCTTTAACCAACGGCATCCTTTTCTCCTTAACCCCGACTTCTTTAATCAAGCTTGTTCCGAGAGCACTCTTCCACCGGACAACAAGACAAGGTCACGACCACCTTTACCGTCTTTCGTCACCCTCAAAACGAACCGAATCAAAGCCACCCGCTTTGACGTCTTCCCGTCCGTTTATTCCGCGCCTCCGGTTAGTCTCTCACAAGCCCGATTAAAAGAAACCGGGGTTGCTTGTAATCAACTTCGAATCACACCCCCTTCAACGAAACCTCTCTGATACCAAGTGTTAGATATCAAACTGATGATGACTTCGTTCCTAAGGAAGAAATTAATGAACAAGAAAGATACAAGGGAGCACAGAAGAATAAAAGAAAAAACGAGAGAACTTTGAGGATTTTTTTTTAAAATCCTATTAAAACTAACGGGTACAGCCCCTTATTTATACTAAAACTAATAGACTTTTACTCTAATACAAACTCTTGAAAGAAACTTAAAATACTAATAAAAAAGGAAACTTTTCTATTGCTTTTCAAACAACCGATTAACCCAACAACAAGAACATGAAATACTCAATGAACCTAGGGGCTGTTTGAAATGCCTATTATTGGGTCTTGTAAGAGGTTGTGTGTGATTTGGTCAGATTCACACCGTTTGATATCACACTTAGACGTCTCTGCCTCGGTATGCCTCTTACTCACTTAATTCAGGGTTGTGTCTGACTCCGTGACACCTTGACACCTTGACTCAATCAGAGCTGACTCAATTAACAACTAAACCATAAGGAATTACCAAGGCTTAGTCACAGGGCAAGAGTAATCTCACACTTTGTTTTTTCAAGATTAATTAAGCCTGTTCCATCATCTACTAGTTAATATATATCACCGATCAACCTAATTGGAAGGTAACAAAGTTAATAGATATCATCGATCAACCTAATTGGAAGGTAACAAAATTATCATTGCAGGTTTGCAGGAGACATTTTAAAATATTCGAAGAGGATAGCTTAGTGTCGGACGAGAAGGAAAGTGTTAAAAAGGCTGCAATTGGGAGTCGACTGTCAAAAGACATGTCGCCTGATGATAACGATAGTCGAGAGGCGAGCTTGATAGCAGATGCCCTATAGAGCCCAGAGGGAGTTGGCGCGACCGATTAATGTGAACCTTGTGTGTTTTATGCGGTTAGGGTTTATTAATTATACATTTTTGAAACAAATTATGTAATAATCTTTTAAATGGGGCTTATTTTTCCAATTTCCGCCAAACTAGGGACTATGTCCGTAAATTTGTTGAAGTGTAGATACTATTTCTTGTAATTTTGTCAAACACGATGACAATTTCTTTTATTTCGCATTTAGACAGGACTATTTCTGTGATTTTATTAAACATGTGCTAAAAATTGAATTTAAATCTAAAAGTTGACATAATACATTAGTTTACGTACAAGTTTTCGTTTCAATTTCACATCATATTTCTAAATCACTCTTCTTAGAAATAAACATTTCTTTAAATTTACAATAAAATCTACGTACTTGGTTTAAGAAATAATTGAAGATAATAAATATTGTGGTCCTAACTGTCAGGAGAAACACAACCTATAGGAGGGGTTAGAAAATATATAACAAAACCAGTATCTATTGACTTCAGGTCTCATCTTCTACACTGACTCTAAAATTCTAGGGTCTCCATATACATAAAATGAAAGTTATCAGTTGTCCTTACTCGTCACATCATCAAACAATGCAGAACACCTCCACCAAAATTAGCATTGCTGTGCACACGTTAACCATGCTGATCATGCTTTCTTTCATGTTAGCATCCCGGTGTCCTGATATTCAACAATGTCATAATGGTGAGAATTATATCACTTGCAACAACGGAAGTGTAGTTGAGATATACATCTATAGTTGTGATGAAAGTGACCAGATAAAGGTAATATTTTCCTCATTTCCAAGTGTTGACAGGCTTTATGTTTAGAATTTCTGGATCTTAGCAAAAATAGGTTAACCAGTCCAATCCCTTCATCTTTTGGTTCCATGATCAATCTCAAATTCCTAGACTTGAACACAAATCAACTAAGAGGACCAATTCCACAGGAACTTTATAATCTGCAAAAGCTAGAAACACTGGACCTGGGTGACAATCTTTTTCAAGGTCCAATTCCCTCAGCTTAATTTGGGTTCTTTAAGCCAACTGATACTTTTGAACCTTGGTATGAATAACATCCCCATTCCTCGACATATAGAATATCTGAACTTAGAACGTCTCGACCTTAATCATAACTGTAACACCCAAAAATTCAAGCCAAATTTAAACTTTCAAAACATGTCGAATTTATCAAAACATTACAACTTTGTTTTCAAAATACATTTATATCAGAGTTTTCCCAGAAACATAACATAATAGGAGGAGCTGTACGATCATGCCTTCGCCTTGCCGCGACCCCCTGATGTACCTGAAACAATAAACTGAAACTGTAAGCCCGAAAGCTTAGTGAGTTATCCCCACAATACCGATACACATACAGTCCACATAACTATGTCACACCATGACATATCATAATAAACTGAGCAGAACAGCACATAACGGGTCCACAGCTTTACAGACTGGAATACCCCTGGGCCCACAGTGTGAGTCTGGAATGCCTACCGGGCCCTCAGCTCACATCTAGATTGCCACCGAGCCCTCAGTACGAGTCTGGAATGCCTACCGGGCCCTCAGCTCGTATCTGGAATGCCACCGAGCCCTCAGTACGAGTCTGGAATGCCTACCGGGCCCTCAGCTCGTATCTGGAATGCTCCCAAGTCCTCAGTATGAGTCTGGAATACCTATCGGGCCCTCAGCTCATATCTGGAATACTCTAGGGTTTGTTGGCTACCGCACGGAGCAGTACAACCTCAACCCATCCCACATAACATATCAACATGTAACAGATAATGCACATACAGACAATCAATCAGTATCACAGGTAGTCCTACAGACCTACCCTCTAGCGTATCAAACTAGCATGCATAACTAACTCATACTCAACATAATACAACTACTAGGATATCATATCCAATGGGCCGGCCTTGGTGCCTTAGACCCCTTAGTATAGTGAGGATAACTCACCTCGCAACTGTCGTCGGAAATAAGAAGGCTCAACTCCTGGGTCCAACACGAACTCCGCCACCTATAGGTACCATACAAACCTTTTTCATAAATCTCCCAATTACCAGAAACCATCAGAAGTCAACTGGTCAACCCTTGGTCCAAGTCAAAGTCCACAGTCAAAGTCAACAGTCTATGTTGACTCGACTCGTCGAGTGCAGATCACCGACTCGTCGAGTCCTTCCTGAACTCGAGAAGTCGTGAAATCCTTGATTGGCTCGTCGAGTTCCCTTTTTAACTCGTCGAGTTCATACGTGGCCAAGATTTGGAAGAAACCCTAGCCAACTCGCTGAGTCTTCTAACAACTCGCCGAGTTCAAGGCAATCTTCAACTAACTCGCCGAGTTGCTCAACCAACTCGCCGAGTTCACGACTATGTTCATAGGACTCGCCGAGTCCAGTGTTCTACTCGCCGAGTTCATTCAGTCCTTTTTCCATACAGACCTGGTTTGAGCCATGCAGCGGCTCCAAACCACAGATCTAGGCTTCTAGGGCATGCTTATCACGTAAAGTTGCAAACTTTACATGCATGCATAGCTTTAAGGGCTCCAAATGTCAAAACTAAGCTCTTAATGGGGTTCTAAGCTCAAGAGGGACCTCAATCACAAACATAACCGAGACTTTACAACTCTAGAAGGTAATGAGGGTCCAGATCTGAAGTATAGCCCAACCATAAGGTTTCTCTACCAAGGATTTGGGGTTTTAGGGCTTAAAAGCAACAATTTAGGGACAAACAAGATCTAATAGATCAATAATCAAGATAGAAACTTTATTATCAGAATGGGTGACCACAAATGAATGTGATCTAAGTCCCCTTCCTTGAGCTCTTCAACCCCTTCCTTCTTCCACTTGCTCCAATGTGCACCAAAAGTCCCTTCACAAGGCAACAATCACTCAAACTCACCAATGGAGACTAGGGTTTCGATAAGGAATGCTCTGAGGGTGATGGAGGCTGAGATGGGGCTATAAGGACGTTTAAATAGGGTGCAAACCCTAAGGATTAGGGTTTCCTCCTGACTGGCCTACTCGCCGAGTCCAGGCGTGGACTCGCCGAGTAGATCACTTAAAGCCCGCGTCCAATTCGACATCTACTCGGCGAGTTAGGGCTACAACTCGCCGAGTAGCTCAAAAAGAAACATTTAATCAAATTAAATACGTACCAGGAACGGGGCGTTACAATAACCATCTTTCTGGTGTGATTCATCTTGAATTTAGAAACTTGCCGAGACTCTCTCACCTTGATTTTTCATCAAACGGTTTGTCCGGGAATGTATCCTTTCAATATCCGTGTAGATTACAGTATCTAGACCTCTCTGCTAATATCCTGACTGGTTACAACGGATTAACTAATTGCTACCATTTAAGGTATCTGGACCTTAGTGATAATATTTTTGTGGGAGAAGCAGTTAACTGTTTGAATTTCTTATTTTTGGAGTACTATAGTCTAAAAGTGTCTGGGCTTTATAGGGGATATTGTACAGAAACTGATTATGGAAGTGTTTATGAAGGCAAGCCCTCCAAAGAACACAAACATATCCTCCTTTTGAAGATTCTTCTTCCGCTGATTGTTGGATTTTGTTTCTTAGTGATTGGTTATGTGCTTTACCAACATAAAAAGGCTACCACAGAGAAAAGTCAACCAGAAATACAAAAACATGGAGATGTGTGCCATGGTAAAACAGAAGACTTCAACCTCAAATATTGCATTGGAACCGGTGGTTATGGAAGTGTTTATGAAGCGAAACTGCCAAACGGTAAAACATTTGCTTTGAAGAAACTCCATCGGTTTGAAGCCAAGCAACCAGCATTTAACAAGAGTTTCAAGAACGAGATCCAAGTCTTAACCAACCTAAGGCACAAACACATTGTGAAACTCTATGGTTTTTTTTTGCATAACAATTGCAACTTCCTAGTATATGAATACATGGAAAAAGGAAGCCTATTTTGTGCATTGAGTAACAATGAATTCGCTGTCATATTGGATTGGAAGACGAGGGTAAACATTATCAAACACGTAGCCCATGATTTTTCTTACATGCATCATGACTGCAGCCCACCCATCATTCATCGAGACATATCAAGCAACAACATTCTCTTGAACAAAGAAATGGAAGGATTTGTTGCCGACTTTGGAGCAGCCAGATTGCTCGACCCTGATTCCTCCGACCAAACCATTGTCGTAGGAACTTTGGAATACATTGCTCCAGGTATGTATGTGTACATTCTAATGATTCATTTAGCTTTATTAGTAGATGAAATTACACTAAACAATCCTTTGATTAGGGATGAGCAGTTTGTCCCAAATCCCGATCCCGTACCGATACCGTACCGGGAACCGGTACCGAACCGTACCGAATTTGAAAATATGGGACGGTACTCGGTACTCAAAATACATTAAAATTCGGGATTCGGTACCACCGGTACCGGTACTAGTACCGAAAACCGGTACCATTCCCGGTACCGGTACCGATGATGGTAATTCGGTTCGGTACTCGGGATTGACTTTCGATAAAATTCAGTTTTCGGGAATTCGGGAACGGTACGGGTCGGTACTGGTTCCGTCCCACGCTCATCCCTACCTTTGATATAAACATGTAGAACTTGCATACAACATCATTGTGAACGAGAAATGTGATGTGTATAGCTTTGGAGTGCTTGCGCTTGAAACAATCGGAGGGAAGCATCCTGGAGACCTCCTGACGTCCCTCAACTATTTAAACCAGGAAGGTGCAACTTTGGAAAGTATACTTGACAAGCGACTCCCTTATCCAACTGATGGCAGACGGATTGAAATGGAAATTCTCCGTGTTTATAATGTTGCATTAGCATGCATTCGCATGGACCCAAAGACTCGTCCGACAATGAGAAATGCCTCTCACGAATTATCCAAGTGACGAGTCACCAATTGTACTTGATGTCCATATCTTTGTTTCGGTATCTACCGACTAAAATTTCTTTCAAGATTGTTTTTATATGAAACCTGTTATGTGATCTTATTGTTTCTTATTCAAAACTAGTTCTTATATACATAATACATCAACATGATGTGCATTCTTGTGCAATTGACATAAGATAGAGCCAAAGAACACCGGACCTCCGGCCTCTGTAGCATCCTTAACGTATGAACCAAATGTTGAATCTTCAACATGCTTATACCCAGGCAATTACATACAGAATTATTGGCTATAATTATGTTATAACCTTCAACAAATTAATGTTGTAAAGTATGACATATTGGATATATATGAATGAGGGTCCCAAATCTATCACTCTTTGGTGTTGATCATCTGCTTTCTGAATCGTAGTTCAAAGTGTATCCTCTTTTTTTTTTATTAATAGCAATTGTGACATTGCAATGTATTGTGTTTACCTAAATGCCAATTGCCAAATGAGAAATATCATAATTTTACAATCTGATGATGAAACACAGGCCCATCCACTACTAGAATAGAAGGGGTTTTGCTACAGGAAAATAACTACAAAAAATTTTCTTAGGTAATTAGCTACATAATACCAACGGAATTCCTACGGAATGGAATGCCCTAAATTAGTAACGAAATATCTATGAAATAGCTACAGAATAACGACGGACACACATCCGTGTCCGTCGTTATTCTGTAGCTATTTCATAGATATTCCGTTACTAATTTAGGGCATTCCATTCCGTAGATATTCCGTTGGTAATTAGCTACAGAATAGCTAGGGAATAGCGATGGAAGTAAGCCCATAGGTATTCCGTAGGTAATTAACTACAGAATGACTACAAACTACCCACAGAAGAAAATAGATACAGAATAACTACGGAATACAAACGACTTTATTATTATTATTATTATTATTATTATTATTCCCATTATTATTATTTTTCAATATTCAAGTCTTAATTTTTTTTTGAATCGTTTTGTTTTAAATATTTAAAATACAAACCTTTATCTGTAGGTAATCCGTAGGTATTTACCTACGGATTACCTACGGTTTTTTTTTTCTGTAGGTAATCCGTAGGTATTTATCTGTAGCAATCAATGTATAATGATGTTGTGAAAAAAATGAAACGAAAAAAAACTACATTTGACCCTTGAAAAATAGAAAATAAAAAAAACCGTAGGTAATCTGTAGGTAAATACCTACAGATTACCTACGAATAACCTTTATCTGTTGGTAATCCGTAGGTATTTACCTACGGTTTTTTTTTTCTAATTTTTAAGTGCAAATATTGTTTTTTCAGTTTCATTTTTTTTTCACAACATCATTATACTTTAAATGCTTTGGTTTCACCAACTTATACATAACATAAACTTACATACAAAAGTATGCATCGCTAGAACCCAATACTCATTTACAACTTTATTATTTTTTTCTATAATATAAATGAAAGTTATTTTCTATACACAAATACAAATAAGTACACACATTTACATACAAACCATATGTATGTATTATGTTCAATATATCTCGTATTTGTTTAATCAGGTTAATTGTGGCTCAATAACAAACATAAATAGCTTTTTGTATCATATATAGTAATGGGTTCTAATGATGCACATTCTTGTACATACGTTTGTATGATGTTTAACTTTGTGAAAACAAAACAATCAATGTATAATGATGTTGTGAAAAAAAACGACATTTGACCCTTGAAAAATAGAAAAAAAAAAAAACGTACGTAGGTATTTACCTACGAATTACCCACGGGGTTTTTTTTTTCTAATTTTTAAGTGCAAATATTGTTTTTTCAGTTTCATTTTTTTTTCACAACATCATTATACTTTAAATACCTTGGTTTCACCAACTTATACATAACATAAACTTACATACAAAAGTATGCATCGCTACAACCCAATACTCATTTACAACTTTATTATTATTTTTTCTATAATATAAATGAAAGTTATTTTCTATACACAAATACAAATAAGTACACACATTTACATACAAACCATATGTATGTATTATGTTCAGTATATCACGTATTGTTTAATCAGGTTAATTGTGGCTCAAGAACAAACATAAATAGTTTTTTGTATCATATATAGTAATGGGTTCTAATGATGTACATTCTTGTACATACGTTTGTATCATGTTTAACTTTGTGAAAACAAAGCAATCAATGTATAATGATGTTGTGAAAAAAATGAAACGAAAAAAAACGACATTTGACCCTTGAAAAAAAGAAAAAAAAAACCGTAGGTAAATACCTACGGACTACCTGCGGATAACCTTTATATGTAGGTAATCCGTAAGTATTTACCAGCGCGAGTAATTTACCGTGTTATCAATCATAAGGATGGTTTCCCGTAAATTTTATAACGTTAATTCCTCTAAGTGAGTCGTTATAACCATACTAGATAATGACAGTTCGCCTGTCATGGCGTTTTTGGGCGCCGACGGAATAAGGTAAGGTTTTTGTCACTCTAGACTAGCCTAGTCTAACTGTATCGAACAGCTCAGGTGTGGGGTGTCACCCCCGTATAGATCTATACACAAACTCCCGCTCTCCCTCCAAGAGATTCTGGTTATAACTACAAGCTACGATTGTACACTCAATAGGTGTCAACCGACACGTCTCACTAGATCCTTAATCGAACTTACGCGAAAAGAAACATATAAGGTATATTCCAGGCCCAATGAACATGTAAGTGGACAACTAAGGCCCACTAAGCATGTAAATTATTTCCAGGCTCAAAAGGAATGAAAATATATATCCCTAGCCCAATATATATGTAAAGGGACAACTAATGCCCATTTAACATGTATATTATTTCCATGCCCAATAAGCATATAAGGAGTATCCCATGCCCAATAAACATGTAAGTGGACTACTAAGGCCCTCTAAGCATGTAAATTATTTCTAGGCCCAATAATGGTAAGAATGACACAATTTATCCGTTGTTTGTTACGTTGATTTTATAGCTTCGTTGGTTACCAAATTGACATGAAAAGCCCACTTTTTGTAAAAAGACATTTTATTTGGTCCTAAAACCGAAAATTTACAATTAGGACACATTTTTGGTAAAAATAACATTTTAGGCCTCTTTCAAGGACAAAACTTGCATTTAAGGCTAGTTTTAGTAAAAACAACATTTTTACCTCCTTTTTGTCAAAAATATCATTTTTGGCTTGATTTTTATGAAAATGTGCATTCTTGGCCCATTTATAAATAATTTTATCCTTTTGGCCCAAGTTTTAACAAATTCATATTTTTTAGTTTTTCTCAGTCAAAAATTTACATTTTTGGCACAACTATGTTGAAAATGTCACTTAAGCCCACAAAAGCCCAAAAAGTTACAATTTTGGCCCAAAGCCGTGAGAAGCCCAAATAAAGCCCAATTGTGAGAATTTTTACATTGTTAGTCCTTGTAGGGTCCCAAATGCCATAAATATCCATATTTAGCAAAAATAATCCTTTTTGAACCCCTAAAATCGTGAGTTACATAAAAATACCCCATTTTTGGTTATTTTGTCACTTTTGGCCTTCTTATGCAATTTTCTTAGTTTTAAGTAACTTTGATGTGTTTTAAAACCTTTTCTTTGCATATTAAGTTGAAATGAGTGTCATGTTCTACAAATAGCATCACATTTTAGTAGATCTTCAAGTCCATGGAGTTTATAACACATAATCACACATATATCATGAAAAACACACAAAATCATGCATACACACATAGATCTACACAAAACAACTTGTAGTCTCCCCTAAAACATAGTAAAAACCAAAAATAGGGGGTATGAACTCACATTGCTTTGGAGATTTCGGTTTTTTATGAAGATTGAAGAGGTTTTCGGCTTTAACAAGCTTCCTTGAAGAGATTTTCGAGATCTATGAAGTTATAAGAGCATGGATCATGAAATGAAGTGTTAAGAAGAGATTTCTAGAGTAACTTGAATCGAAAGTTATAGAGTTTCACAATAACTTACCAAGGATGTATGAGTTTTGATGGAGAGTCCTTGATGTACTCTTACAACTCACGAGAATTTGGAGGATGAAGGAGAGGATTTCTTGTGCTAGAGAGTGTTTGAAGTAACTAGAATTGAGAGTGGAGGTGGTGGTGGGAGACTCTTGGCCGAGAATAAGAAAAAGAGGTTAAAAGAGGAGTGAAATGAGATGTGATGATTGCATGGATAAATGAGATTACATAGATATTTGTGGGATAGTTTTCATGGAAATCCACAAGGTAAGTATGAGGTGGCACCTCAAATTTTCCCATTGTTTTCCCTTTTTTTTTATATATGTGGGCTGAGAATGAGGGGGAAAGGAAAAGAGAAGGAAAAGTTTGGGCCCTTATTGAACATTTTCAAGATCATAGGCCCAACATGAAGGTTCTCGGCCCATTGGGCCCTTCTTATGGGTTCACGGCCCAAAGGTGGTGAAGGGATGGGGTTTACGGCCCTTCATGGTTCAATAGAGTGGTTCACGGCCCATCATGGCCCATGATAACAAAGTGAGTTGTTTTAGGCCCAACATGGCCCAATTGCTATGGTTTGACGAATGTGGGTCCAATTAGAGCCCAAAATCATCAAATGAAAGGTTTACTGGCCCATTAGGCCCAATAAGGGGATCCTGGTCCATACTAAGTTTGAACCGGGTTATTAGGGTTTCAAACCCATAGCTGAGTATATGAGATGTATTAAGTTAGGTTTTGGACTTCACTCAGGAATTTTGATTTAAATGGATGTTTTTGATTGAGTATAGAATATGATATCCACTTAGATTACAAGTCTTACAAGAGTTGATGTTTACATGAAAACAGAATTTCCTAGCTAAAAATGCTAGTTGTGACATCTTAGTCTGCTGTCAGTCAAACAAATGATCGGGCTGTTGAACCTGAAAATCCCCGTGCTAATAAATCAAATAAAGATCCCAATTAATAATCGGGCCATAAACCATATCTAGGAATCTAGTTCACTTGTCCAACACCCAGGGTAAAAGAGCATTTTACCCTTTCCTCACTTGATCTAATAACCAATGCCCAACCCAATGGCTCTAAAAGCCCAATATGGCCCAAATTCCTAAATGACACCCAAAGCCCATTACGGGCCCAAATCCAAGAAGGCCTAAAGCCTAACAATGGCCCAAAGTCAGAAAGACTAGTGGCCCCACAAGGCCTAAAACCCTAATAGTCAAAATATGACCCAAGTTGCAAAAGTCAACAAAATTCAACGGCTGTTGAGTACGCCCAACGTACTCAGACTTATGCCTTGCGTATGCCATCTTTGGCCACTACGCGTTGCGTACGAGCTGGGTATGCCCAGGCTACACCACAACAGCCCAAACTTGCCATTAAGTGCTTAATCGATTAAGCCACTAAGCCAAATTCTCAGATCCGATCTTAAGTGATGTCTTCACACGTAAAGTTGGCAACTTTACTCCTTTGCATGCCTTACTGGGACCTAATACTCAATAAAAACCCATAATAAGAACCCTAACTCATCCAAGGTCCAATATAACACTCAAAGATTGCATTTTATGAACAAGGGACCCCAAAAAAGGTAAGATCTACCATCCCTAGCTTCTGAAGTAGCTCATACTCTCAATAATGGCTTAAAGGACCATAAAAAGCATAAAAACAAGCCCTAACTAGATCTATCAAAAGAACCATCAAGTTAAGAGCTTTATACCTCCAAAAGCTTTCCAAGTTGGTGATGATTCTAGATCCACAACTCTAGCCACACCAATGCAACTTCCAAGAGTTATTCTTTCTTCACAATCAGCAAAAACACCTTCAAAGTTCAATTCTAAGCTCAAAACACTCAAATGCAAATTAGGCTTTCGTTCTTAGGGTTTGGAGAGGTGAAGGTTGGTCATAGGAAGGTCCATGAGTGTCTTAAGGTGTTTAAATAGGGCACAAACCCTAAAAATTAGGGTTTTCCCCTGTTGACCGTATGCCCTCGTATATCCACGTACGCCCAACGTACGTGGGTGCCTCCACGACCAAGATATTCAGCCATCAATCCTAGCGTACTCCTAGCGTACGACCAACGTACTCGACTAGGGCCTAAAATGCAAGAATTTTCAAATGAAGGGCAAAGAGGGAAAATACCTGAATGCAAATGTTACAATATTCCTCCGAAAATCAATATATTAACACCCTAAATGGTCAATTATTCAGTTTTCCTTCAAAAACTAAGTCTTTCGGTGCCCGGTTCGGGTACAATTGTGATTAATATATACACATACATTGTAAGATAGGAATTGGATGGTCTATATTTCACATAAAATCAATATATTAACACCCTAAATGGTCAATTATCCAGCTTTTCTTCAAAAACTAAGTCTCTCCATGCCCGATTCAGGTACAATTGTCATCAATATATACACAAAATTTGTAAGATATGTATCGGATGATGTATACTTCTCTGGAAATCAATATATTAACACCCTAAATGGTCAATTGTTCAGTTTTCCTTCAAAAACTTAGTCTTTCGATGCCCAATTCGAGTACAATTGTCATCAATTTATACATAGACTTTGTAAGATACACATGGGATGATCTTTATTTCTAAGAAAATCAATATATTAACAACCTAAATGGTCAATTATTCACTTTTCCTTAAAAAAAACTAGTCTTTCGGTGGTTCAGGTACAATTGTCATCAAAATATACACGCACATTGTAAGATACACATTGGATGATCTATATTTCTCTGAAAATCAATATATTAACACCCTAAATGGTCAATTATTCAGTTTTCTTTAAAAAAACTAAGTCTTTCGGTGCCCGGTTCGAGTACAATTGTGATTAATATATACACAAACATTGTATGATACGAATTGGATGGTCTATATTTCTCTGAAAATCAATATATTAACACCCTAAATGTTCAATTATGGATAAATGGAACCACAGGAAATACGCACGCGGTCCGTTATTTTTAGAATATGTGTATATGTGGTAAGTGGCTGATGAAAAGATTCTCATATTCACATTCTCTAGCCGTAAGTCGGCTTAGAGTGGATAACTTCTTTTCATTGTGAATGTTGTTTATACAACTGCGATGTATAAACAACAATATACCTATGGCTTTTCCCCACTTCCTCAGTTGATTATTAGTTGGAGACTGATTGAGAGATTAAAGCAGATTATTCAAAATGTTCGGTTAGTCAAGGTTGACGACGTACAAATCGATTCCGTAACGAGATGAATGTTCGTCATCCTGATGAACCACGTAGATGTGGAGTATATCATCAACCTGGTCATAATAGGAGAAATTGTTCAAATTCTCAACTAAGATTCAATCCAAAGTGAGCTGTGTAATTTTTTTTTGTCTTGTAATTTGTGTTTAAGTTATTTAGTAATTTGGTTTTTAAGTCATCTTATAGTTTTATGTTTAATTAATCTGGTAATTCTGTGATATTGTAATATATTCGATTTGTGTTTAAATTCTTTTGAATGTGTTGCTACGATTTTTTGAATGGTATAATTTGCTAAGAAAAAAAAATCAATTATATATTTTTAATAAATAAATTTATATGTCATATACAATAAAGAACAAAAAGTAGGGTTTTTAATGTAAAATATGTAAATAAAATGACATAATACTTGAAATAGTTGATATATAAAATAAAAATTGAATAAGACAATATGTTGTTGATTTAATATAAAATATGTAAAATGAATATAATAGAATACTTGAAAGGGTTAATATATAAAATAAGCCATTAACGGAGAAGTGGTCGTTGCTTTTTTGTGTGGGGTCATCCAAAAAAGTAAGAACAACTGATTTTACAAATGAATTTAGAATCAACCCACTTTTGCAAATAATTTCTAAAAACAACCCATTTAAAAATAAAAATAATAATTATACAAAAATTGTATTGACTTCAGGTCTCCTCTTCTACATTGACTCTAAATACTCTAGAAGAAACACAACCCATACGAGGGTTAGAAAAAATATATCAAAACAAGTACCTATTGACTTCGGGTCTCCTCCTCTACATTGACTCTAAAATTCTATAGTCTCGATATGCATAAAATGAAGTTATTAGTTGTCCTTACAAGTCACACCATCAAACAATGCGGAAAACCTCCTCCATAATTAGCATTCCTGTGCACACGTTAGCCATGCTGATGATGCTTTCTTTCATGTTAGCATCCCAGTGTCCTACTGATATTCAAGGATTATATTATTGTTATTGTGGTTGGAATCATTTCACCTGCAACAATGCAAGTGTAGTTGAAATAGACATATTTCGTCGTGATGAAAGCGTACTGAAAAACTTACTCTTTTCATCATTTCCGAGCCTTGAGAGGTTAGAAATTTCAAAAAGTAATCTTGAAGGAAACAGCCTACACCAGATTGGCTTGCTGAAAAATCTGACCTATATTTCTGTCTCATGGAATTATAACACAGGAGATACCTTGCCTGTATCCTTTACCAATCTCACCCGATTAGAATACCTTGACCTTTCTGGTAACAATCTCAGCGGAAACCTCCCATCTCTGTTGTGAAGTCTCAAGAACTTGAGGTTTCTGGATCTTAGCCACAATCAGTTGACAGGTCCAATCCTTCAATCTTTTGATTACATGTTCAATCTCACCCGATCAGAACACCTTGACCTTTCCTGTAACAGTTTCATTGGTACCCTGCCATCTCATCTGGGGAGTCTCACAAATTTAGAATTTCTGGATCTTAGCCGAAATCGGTTAACCAGTCCAATCCCTCCGTCTTTTGGTTCCATGATCAAACTCAAATTCCTAGACTTGAGCATAAATCAACTAAGAGGGCCAATTCCACAGGAACTTTGTAATCTTCAGAAGCTAGAAACATTGAACCTGGGTGACAATCTTCTTCAAGGTCCAATTCCCTCAGCTTTGGGTTGTTTAAGCCAACTGATAATTTTGAACCTTAGTATGAATAATATCAGTGGCCCCATTCCTCCACATATAGAATATCTGAAGAACCTAGAACAACTTGACCTTAATCATAACCAGATTTCTGGGGTCATTCACCTTGAATTCAGAAACTTGTCGAGACTCTCTTACCTTGATTTTTCATCAAACCGTTTGTCCGGGAATGTATCCTTTCAGTATCCAAGTATCTTAGAGTATCTAGACCTCTCTGATAACTTTCTAACTGGTTACAACGGATTAAATAACTGCTACCATTTAACGTATCTAAACCTTAGTGATAATATTTTTGTTGGACAAGCAGTTAATTGTTCAAATTTCTTATGGTTACAAAAATATAGTCTAAACGTTTCTTGTTGGGGATATTGTACAGAAATTGGCTTTCTATGCAACACCTCCAAAGAACACAAATCCATCTTCCGTTTGGACATTCTTATTCCCATGATTGTTGGATTTTGTTTTTTAGTGATTGGTTATGTGCTTTACCGTCGTAAAAAGGCTACCACAGAGAAAGTCAACCAGAAATAGAAAAACATGGAGATGTGTGCTCCGTATTAAATTATGATGGGACACTTGCATTCGAAGACTTCATCAAGGCAACAGAGGACTTCGACCTCAAATATTGCATTGGAACCGGTGGCTATGGAAGTGTTTATGAAGCGAAACTGCCTAACGGTAAAACATTTGCTTTGAAGAAACTCCATCGGTTTGAAGCCAAGCAACCAGCATTTGACAAGAGTTTCAAGAACGAGATTGAAGTTCTAACCAACCTAAGGCACAAAAACATTGTGAAACTCTATGGTTTTTGTTTGCATAACCAATGCAACTTCCTTGTATACGAATACATGGAAAAAGGGAGCCTATTTTGCGCATTGAGTGACAATAAATTCGCTGTCATGTTGGATTGGAAGACGAGGGTAAACATTATCAAACACGTAGCCCATGATTTTTCTTACATGCATCATTGTTAGGATTCGGACCGGGTACACGCAGCGGAAACACTATCACACACACAAACATACGAATGAAATAAAGCAAGAAGGAACACAAGGATTTTACGTGGTTCGGATTCGGTGTAAATCCTACGTCCACGGGCTGCAACTAGATTTTCTTATTAACTCAATAAGATTACAATTTATGACTCTACAAGTTATATTTGATGCACACATACAAAAGGTTACATCGCACACATATATATATCTATATATATATATATATATATATATATATATATATATTATATATATATATATATATATATATATATATATAGGAGAGAGAGCCGTACTTTCTTTTGTTTACACAAATTGTCGTCCAAAATTTTCCTTCAATTCACATATTGTGAATATAATATTGCGGCCGTCCATTACCGACCATGCAAAAAATGCGTCCAATAATAAACAATTGATTTGCCGTACCTCCATTCAATATTAAACAATTGAATTGTTTAATATTTTTCAAGTTACATTTATGGCCCTTGAACTCTTAGGAACTTGTCAATTTGTTCAAGACTCCATAAATCTTAACAATCTCCCACTTGGAGGCTTGAACAACTTTAGCTTTTCTCCGCCATTCAACTCTCAATTACTCCAGTAATCTTAAAAACAACCAAGTCCTTTTAGGCTTCCAGTTCCAATGAACAAGCTAAAACTTAGTCTGATTTCTCTAGTTGCAGCCGCCCCTCATCATCAATTACTAGAAGGGCCAGTTGAAGCTCCCACTAGCTCCAACTCAGCCCTGGCTAATCCCACCACCGACTCATCCTCTGTCTCAACCGGTTTGGACACTCCACCGGATCCAGAGATACACCGAGGACCACTAACACTCTCCAAACATAGCAAACATCCAACAGGAGATAAATTTTCAGTCTTAGTCTTCAAAACCCAACGGCTCTTTGTAACTGTACCCGGAACACACCCCGTGCTCCTACTGTCACAGAATCTCCTGACTGGTTTAGACTTTCCGACTCGTTCAACTAACATCCCCTTGGCTCCAGAATTCATGTTTGCAAAATGAACTCTCTTAGCCGTAGATTTAGCGAACCAGATTTTGTCTTGCTTAACAGGGACGGTCATACTTCCCTCAGCAGGTACCTCAACCATATACAATGACCCACACTTCATACCTTGAGCAATCACCGAATTACCATTGACCACCATCCATTTACCACCACCAAACCTTACTTCCAGTCCTTGTTTATCCAGCTGACCAACAGAAATCAATTTCTTCTTCAGCTCCGGAATCACCCTGACATCCTTCAGGCTCCATGTAGTTCCTAATGAAGTAACCAAATCAATATCTCCCATGCCCGTTACTTGAAGCATCTCGTCATTTGCCAAACGTACCTTTCCAAAATCTCCTTCTTTCAAATTCACCATCGTTTCCCCGTTGTCCATGGCGTGAAACGAAGCCCCTGAATCCATGACCCAAGAGTCCACAGAACTTTCCATACTGAGTAACAATGCATCATCCCCAGAAAAATTCTCAGCATCAGCAATGTTCAATTCTTTCTTTGGACATTGACTCTTAACATGTCCCACTTCTTGACAGTTCCAGCATTTCACATTCTTCAAAGATCTAGAAGAACTTTTTCCCCGACTCCCACTGCTTCCACTATTCCTGCTATTCCCTCTACCTCTTCCGACATTTAATAAATCAGAAGAGGAAGATCCACCTTGATTCTTGCGTCTGATATCCTCGCCTAGAACCAAATCTCTAACCCCTTCAAAAGTCATACCACTGGTCCCCACGGAACTCGTAACAGCAGTAACTGTTCCGGACCAGCTATCAGGTAGAGAAGCTAGTAGCAGTGATGCTTGAGTCTCGTTATCAAATTTAATTCCCACATATGATAATCTGGACATAATTGAATTTAGATTATTAATGTGAACCGTAACTGAGCCTTCCTCATTCATCCTTGTAGTGAACAGCTCCTTCATCAAGAGCACCTTGTTAGCCGCCGATGGTTTCTCATACATATTTGACAGAGCCTCCATCATACCACGTGCCGTGGTTTCATTCATGATGTTGAAAGCAACGCTCTTTGTCAATGACAATGTAATAACCGCCTTGGCTTTCTTGTCCTTTGAGTTCCACGCATCTTCAGCAGCTTTTTCCATTTTCTCCGGTTTGTCTCCGAGTACCACGTCCAAGTCTTTCTGACATAGTAATGCTTCTAATTGCATTTTCCACCAGCTAAAATCAGAACCGTTGAACTTTTCGATTACCACCTTGTCTTCAGCCATTATGACAAACAAGATACAAATCAGGTACACTCGTGCGTGATAAAAAAACGACCGTACCCTCCAAACCTCGCTAATCTAGCTCTGATACCAGTTGTTAGGACTCGGACCGGGTACACGCAGCGGAAACACTATCACACACACAAACACACGAAGGAAATAAAGCAAGAAGGAACACAAGGATTTTACGTGGTTCGGATTCGGTGTAAATCCTACGTCCACGGGCTGCAACTAGATTTTCTTATTAACTCAATAAGATTACAATTTATAACTCTACAAGTTATATTTGATGCACACATACAAAAGGTTACATCGCACATATATATATAGGAGAGAGAGCCGTACTTTCTTTTGTTTACACAAATTGCCGTCCAAAATTTTCCTTCAATTCACATATTGTGAATATAATATTGTGGCCGTCCATTACCGACCATGCAAAAAATGCGTCCAATAATAAACAATTGATTTGTCGTACCTCCATTCAATATTAAACAATTGAATTGTTTAATATTTTTCAAGTTACATTTATGGCCCTTGAACTCTTAGGAACTTGTCAATTTGTTCAAGACTCCATAAATCTTAACAATCATGACTGCAGCCCACCCATCATTCATCGAGACATATCAAGCAACAACATTCTCTTGAACAAAGAAATGGAAGGATTTGTTGCTGACTTTGGAGCAGCCAGATTGCTTGACCCTGATTCCTCGAACCAAACCGTTGTCGTAGGAACTTTGGGATACATTGCTCCAGGTATGTATGTGTAGATTCTAATGATACCTTTACCTCTGTTAGTAGGTGAAATTATACTAACAAACCTTTAGTATAAACATGTAGAACTTGCATATAACATCAATGTGAACGAAAAATGTGATGTGTATAGCTTTGGAGTGCTTGCACTTGAAACACTTGGAGGGAAGCATCCCGGAGACCTTCTGTCATTAATAAACTATTCTAATGGGAAAGGTGCAACGTTGGAAAGCATATTTGACAAGCGACTCCCTTATCCAACTGACGACGGACTGATTGAAATGGAAATTCTCCGTGTTTATGATGTTGCAGTAACATGCATTTGCATGGACCCAACGTCTCGTCCGACAATGAGAAACGTGTCTTAGGAATTATCCTAGTGTGGCCTCATCTGTGCTTGATGACCATATCTTTGTTTTTGTGCCTGCCGGTTGAAATTTCTTTAAGTGTGTTGAAAATTTCCCCTGTATGTGTTTGTGTGTTACCAAGAACGCGAAATAAAAAGAAATGGTTGTATCATATTTCTTACATTCTTATCAAATTTGTATATTTTATTTGAAAAAAAGACATGGATTCTTCTTCTTTTTTAATAAATGTTACCTAACTAAACTTTTTGTTACTTATTATCAAACCTTCTTTACCCCATAGAGATATTGGGTGTGAGCATGTACGGGCGTATGTCTATGCGCATGTGCATGTGCAAGATCTTCATACACAAATCATGGAACACATTAGGATTTGATTGCAAGATTACAAAGTTATTCAATGATTGGGGCTAAAAATGAGTAAAATCAAGCATTTGCTTTCGACAGGACAAAACTCTCCCAAGAACAAATGCTCACTAGAAATTGAATGATCATCAGGCCCGATACAATACCAGAGCGAGTTGGGCTAAGGTTCAGGGCAGCAAAAAAACAAAGGGCATATATATATATATATATATATATATATATATATATATATATATATATATATATACTAGTTTATAACCCGTGAGAACCACAGTTATAAAATTAATTAAACTTTCATAGTAAAAAAATTAAAATTATTAATAAATTATATCAAATAAATTATTTTAAATAAATTATTAATTAAGATGTTTTTTTAGTTATATAAAATTATAATCGTTGATTTAAATCAATACATGAAATTATCTCACCTTATAATATATATTAATTTTTTTTATTCTAATGTTAAATGTAATTAGAGTGTGAAATTTAAAATGAAAAATCAATTATCAATTATTAATTTAATGTAATTAAAGTTGAAAATTTAAAATTTAAAATTTAAAAAAAGGAGAATTAATATGTTGACATGTGGCATTTAATATTAATGAGGATTTCTAATATTGTGACACTTGTCAATATGAGAATAAACTTATTCATCATTATCATCATCATCATTATATCATAAAAACTAGCATTTTTTCTTGAACCTCATGCATTTGAAACTCCCAATACCATTTTCCTTGAACCTCATGCATTTGAAACTCCCAAGACTATTCAACTTATACAAATTAATTTATGATTAATTGAAATATTATGATTTGTAACTTTTAAAACTCTTCAAATCATGCTAATTAAATTGATGATTGAAATGAAATATTTAGCATATATAAGAATTTGTAGATTACATATTGTATGTATGTCAACATACAATGATAAATTATATTTGTAGGGTTTGAAGAGTTATGTGAGTGGTTCCATGGATGTAAGAAAACAATTCCAACTTTTCCAAATATAAATTCATGTAAACTCAAATCGGGTGCATATAAGTTTTAGATATTAACCAATGTTCAAATTTAGGTATGTTTGTAAATGTTTACTTGAGATCATTTTTTAAGTTTATGTGTTATGCATTTTTCTATAATCACAGGTTCAAATTTAGGTATGTGTTATACTATGTTAGTTTCAATCGCTTTATTTTATTGTAAATAACATCGATGGGATTTTTTTATAATTGATTTTGATGAAAGGACTTTATAATTATTATTCCAAATTGTTGGTGATAGTGACGAATTAGAACAAACGATTTTTAATATGATATGACTTTATTGTTGAAAACCAATAATTATGCGTGTTATAAAAATGAATTATTTATGTTTTATCAAAACTTATATGGATGTACCCAATTTTAAATGTTTTTATAGTAATAAAAATAAATTATCTTATTACATTTTTCAATTTTCTTTTTTCGCTATTTTTTTTTATCGTAAATGAAAAGTAAATAAATAAAATATTAATATTTTCATAAGAAAATATAAGTGATAAAAATATACCTATAGCGTAACACTTCTCCTCCCCTAACCCACTCTTAACATATTTTTTAAGATTGGTCGCAGTACATAACAATTACTATAATTTTGAACTTCAAATCACCATTTTATTTGGACATTTCATTCTCTTCCAATATTTCATAGCTTTAAGGAAAAAACATGAAAGTACAAAAAGTATGATAGTATTTTTAAAATATAATAATGAAAATTTTCAAATAAGTAGTTTTTAATTAGTAAAAAGTAATAACTGTTTTAAATAACGTAAAACTAAATAATAGATTATATTATATTAAAATTTTATTATTATTTGAAATAATAATAATAATAATAATAATAATAATAATAATATAGGAAATAAATAATATTCAAATAAATTATTTATAAATTAGCTAAAAATACCTATAGTTTAAAATAATTTTAAATCAAAAACTTAATTCAGTTTGATTCAAACACGACTTTTTATATCTTTCTTATCGTATACTTAAAATTATTATAATATTAGTTACAATTTAGTATAAAAATTATTATTTCAATGATAAATACTTATAATATTGCTTTTATAACATATAATTGTTAATATTTTTATTACATTATAGGGCACAAATCAAGAGTTTAAAACCCCCACTACAACTCAATAGTTTTTTATTTAAATTTAATGTAATTTGCCTTTATATTATCCACTACATTCAAAAGTTTTTTAAACTTATAGTTATTAATGTTCAATGCTTTTTTATTTCCATTTATTTATTATAAGTAAATTTGATTAATAAAGTATATGTTTGAAAAGATTAGTGATTCAAAATGAAAGAGTCGAAAAATAATGTTTTATCACATCAATGGTTATTTCAACACAAATTTTTTATAACAAAGTTTCTACATATCAAATATATGTTGATTTCTAAATATTCATTTTGAAATATTTATAAGTGTTTAATAAGCTTTGTTTGATGTAAATGTTATAATGTTGTAGTGTTTTTAATTTATTAATATCTATAATGTTTTTTTATACTATTTGTTATTTGTTTTATATACAAATCGGCATACATTTTATATATAATTTTCACTACTTAAAACGTTTTATAAAATCATTAAAAGTTGTAGTATTTATTTTTTCATACAACTTTGTTTTTTCATAGATACAAATAAATATATGTTTTATATATAATTTACACAATATAAAACGGTCTATAAAATCATGAATTAATAATGGAAGTAACTAATGATATAAATTTATTACAATTAATAAAACTAATATGTAAACTATAGAGTTTGTTTTGCTATTGACATTGGTTTTACATGTATAAATATTAAATAACAAGTTGTTAAATGTTTTTATTTTAATTAAATAATTATATTCGCGCGCAATGCGCAGGGATTCGACTAGTTTATTATAATAGAGAGAAGAGATTTAACCAAAACATTTAGCCCAATATTTGTTCGATTGAGAACATCGGCATCTATGCGATGCGTGCGTGGGCGCCAAATAATTGAAGGCTTGAAGCACATTGAGAATTGTAATCGCCGAATCCAATCGACAATGCCCTTCAAAAACGTACATTGATCAAGGAGGCAACCCTTTAAATCAATGAATTGATACTGATTGCCTACATCCCTCTAAATCTTATTTCTTCTGATTTATATTTCTAATTCTCAAATTTCTTTTGATACCGATCACCTGTAATATTCTCCTTTTATGATTTGGAGATCGATTTAGAGAATTAGTGGGATCGTAAGGAAGACGTAGCACATTGCGTTTCTGTCGGCAATGGGTACTCAATCCTATAGCGTTTGGGATCGGGCCATTTGGAAGGTTGATCTTGACTACATTGGTGAATCGTGTGACTATGATTTGGAAACATATACATCATTATTGCAAAAGCAAACAGAAAACAGGGAACTCATTAATATATATTTATTATATATAAAAGAATACTCAAAATGTTAACAGATTTTGTCGCAGTTTAGTTGGATAGAGTTCCATACTCTCTCCATATAACCTTTTTATGTTTTGTGATTATTAAAATTAGAATTTAGTCCCAATTATATAACCATTATTTCAAACGATACGACTAGGAAGATAATGAGACTTTAGAGATAGCCACCAGCTAAAAAACAAAATCTTATTTTGTTTCCTTTCATTTATCGGCGATAACAATTCCTTTATAGCCCTTTTCTCAAACATCAACCCAATCGATTATGTTTCTTCACGATTCTCTAATCTCTCTCGAGTATCTGCTAGTGATTTAATCACATGAGCTTATTGGAAATCAGGGCTAATCTATGATGGTATTAATTACGGTTTATGTGATTTTTAGATTTTGATCGTGTTTGAAAGTTAAAACCAAATGGAGTATTCACTAACTGTTTTTTAGATGTAGATTTTCTTATTTTAGAGGTTAACGGCCTAGTAATGGTAGTAGGTTCATGTTCATTCCTTCTGTTGTTGAGTTATAACTTATAAGGCTTGTAACAAGATAGTGGTGCTCTTTTTTATTTGCTAGCGCTTGTAAACATGTGTTTGTGTCTACTTTAGACTTTGGGGCATCAAATATTTGGATAAATAAAATAGTTCATTATTTCTTTAGCAAATTAATAGCACACTTTATCTAATTTGGGGTTTAAAATACCTTTGGAAAACATTAAGAATATCTAATAAATCATAATGTGTTTTCATTTTTTATGTATCATTTGAATATCTGATAAATTTTTATCATTCATTTATATTAGACAGTTTGGTTATGTTGATATTGAGTTATACTATTATTAGCGATTTTGCATCTAAAAGAACTCATACAATTTTTTTTCATAACTTTGTGCAGTTTCATGTTTATACAAACATTAGTTGTGTTATTGAATCAAAATATTGAAGTTAGAATAAGTATCTTTTTTCAAAGCTTAATGAACGTCATTGTAAGTTTTTCATCCCTTTTCTTACTGTGTATATGAATTATGGTAATTTGACTTTAAATTATTGTAATTTGAAGGGCCTGTTTTTCTCTTTTGCCTCGGGCCTCTTATCGGTTCGGACCAGCCCTGGGAACTCAAGACAATTACACCAAAAACAAACAGAAAACAGGCACACTAGTGGACAAT